AAAAAAAAAAGGAGGTAAATATAGTGCATGTAGCATTGGTAGAAAATGATTCATAATTCACATTCCCATGTAAGATGAAATATGTTACGTACCCGGTCACTAGATGAAAATTTCAGATATCTAGGATCGTCTTTTAGTAATTTCTTTATATCCCTCCATGAGGCGGTAAGTTCGGTAGAGGCTCCTACCTCATCAAGCAATTCACGGAATTTATCACGCTTTTTACGACTAAGTTGCTCTATATGTTCATTAAATAGTCTTTCTTTCTCCTCGCGGTCTAAGCTTTCAGCTAATTCCCATCTGTGATCTTTCCTCAATTGTCGTTTTGCTTCTCGCCACGCTAAGTCACCATTCCTTACCTGTAAACGTGAGCGTTACGTTAAGCGTTAAGTGAGTTGAATTCATTTAAATTCATGTAGCCAAGATACGCACCAAATCTGCAAGAAGAGCACTAAAATGCTGTACTGCTTCCGTATGGCGATGATGCTGCCTCTCCTTATCTCTATCGCGAAGATGCGTAGCAAGAGTTCTTTGAACTTCTCTCTCCCTTTCACGAAGACTAGCTTCTGCTCTTCTTTCACGCTCTCGTTTCTGTTTTTCGCGATCTTCTTCTGAATCGGACTGGTCTTCCGCGTTCTCCTTCTGGGCAAGAATCATATAAATTTCCGTAAAATTAATTTTCATCAGTCATCAAAAAAGTGTTAAATCACTTACATCGTTTTCTTTCTTCGATGGTTTTTCATCATTATCTTCGATTTCGCCGCTTTCTTTCTCCGCCACTGCCTCCTTTTTTTCCTTGCCGTTTTCCTCCGAAGGTGCTTCATTCCTTCGCTTTTTGTCCTTCGAATTATCCTTGTCAACTCGGTCCTTCGACGATTTTTCCTTGTACTTATCAACATCCTTTCGGTCTCTGTCTTTCTTCTCGGATTTATGGTGATCTTTATCTCTGTGCCGGTGGTCTTTGTCTTTCTCCTTCTCCTTTTTCCTCTCCTCCTTTAGCATACGAATGTAATCCCTAAACCAATCTTCTCTCGTGCTTGCCGACTCTACGACTCTGTACCTCCAATCTGATTCCAATTTTTTCTTACAATCGCTCCAATGCGAATGCCTGTCGATGTCTTTGTGTTCACGTAGCATCGCTATGAATTCCTTTTTCACCTGAAACGCATTTAACGTAAGAGTTTTTATCGTTGAAAAATAATCAGCCCTTGCTTACACTCTATTTATACAATTCTGTCTTAAAATT